ATGAGTATGGCGGTGGAAGAAGAAGAATGAAAAGGTTTCTAAGACTTAACCCTTATTTACTCATATTTTACACATTCTTTCCCAATTTACCCTTACTCTTTCTTAGAAATTCCACCTTTGCCCTTTTAATTCTCTGCAAATGCACCCCTATTTAAACTATTCTCTATGCAATTTCCTTGCATTTCACTCCCCACTTTTCCTGCTAATTAGGGGTAGAATGGTAATTGTGCCCTAAAGGAAGAATTCTCTAGAAACTTATTAAATTTTTCAACTGACCCATCACCGCGGCGAAGAACTTCCCGTCGCCTCGACGAAAACTTACAGAAATGACTCACAACTCTCAAGCCAACGTTGCCACGGCGAAGACTATTCTTCGCCCTGGTGAAGACTGAATTTCAAAAATTCACCAAGTCTCAACCAAAATCAAGGCAAACACTTAACCAAATCAACTCATCAATCCAACTAAGGGCCAACCAATGGAAAATCACAACATGCAAGATCAAATGAGAACAAATCAATAAACATTCAAGCAATACAACACAATTGAACTACATACCTCAAGTGGGGCGTTACATTGGAGAGGTTGGCAGGACATGCCTATTACTGTTTCCTGGATGGGTATTCAGGATATAACCAGATTGCCATCGCTCCTGAGGATCAAGAGAAGACGATCTTTACTTGCCCCTACAGCACCTTTGCTTATCGAATGATTCCTTTTGGGTTTTGCAATGCACCAGCGACATTTCAGAGATGCATGATGTCGATCTTTGGAGACATGGTGGAACGGTTCATAGAAGTCTTCATGGATGACTTCTCAATTTTTGGTTCGTCTTTTGATAATTGTTTAACTAATCTTTCTCTTGTTTTGCAGCAATGTAAGGAGACAAACTTGGTGCTCAATTGGGAGAAGTGTCACTTCATGGTTCAAGAGGGAATAGTGCTCGAGCATAGGATTTCCAAGGATGGAATAGAAGTTGATCGAGCAAAGACAAAAGTGATTGAGAAGCTGCCACCACCATCAAATGTCAAAGCGATCCGAAGTTCTTGGGGCATGTGGGGTTTTACAAACGCTTCATCAAGGATTTTTCTAAGATTTCTAAACCCCTTTGCAATCTGTTGAATAAAGATGTTGTTTTTGACTTCAATGATGATTGCATGCATGCCTTTCTAACTCTAAAAAAATTATTAGTATCTGCACCTATTATTGCAGTTCTCGATTGGGGACTGCCATTTGAATTAATGTGTGATGCTAGTGATTTTGCTTTAGGGGTAATGTTAGGACAGCGGAAGAACAAAGTGTTACATGTAATTCAATATGCTAGCAAAACACTCACTAATGCACAATTGAATTACACCACCACTGAAAACGAATTGCTAGCTGTGGTTTTTGCTTTTGACAAGTTTCGCTCATATTTGTTAGGTGCAAAGGTGATCATCTACACGGACCATTCGGCACTCAGGCACTTATTGGCAAAGCAAGAAGCAAAACCTCGGCTGATAAGATGGATTTTACTACTTCAGGAGTTCGAGTTGGAAATTCGAGATAAGAAGGGGTCAGAAAATGTTGTGGTAGATCACCTGTCAAGGATTGAGAGACCAATCAAGGGAACTGAGGAGGAAATCCCAATTACAGAAACATTTCCAGATGAGAAATGGATGAGAGTGGATGAAGCACCATGGTAGGCTGATTTTGCAAATTATCTATCATCAAGGGTACTCCCAAGTGGTATGACATACCAACAAAAGAGAAAATTCTTCTCAGATTTGAAGTATTATTTTTGGGAAGAGCCGTTTCTTTACAGATATTGTGCTGATCAAATGATACGGAGATGTGTCCCGGAGGAGGAGATGGAAAGCATTCTACGACATTGTCACGAGAAAGAAATAGGTGGCCATTTTGGAGGAGCTAGGACAGCAGCCAAGGTTTTACAATCGGGGTTTTATTGGCCAACCCTCTTTAAGGATTCCTTCCAGATGATTCAAGAGTGTGACCAATGTCAATGGATGGGTAATATTTCAAAAAGAGATGAGATGCCGTTGAACAACATCCTGGTGGTTGAGCTTTTTGATGTGTGGGGGATTGATTTCATGGGTCCCTTCCCAAGTTCTTTTGGGAACACATATATTTTGGTGGCAGTGGACTACATGTCGAAGTGGGTCAAAGCAGTTCCATTACCGACTAATGATGTAGGGTAGTGATTAGGTTTGTGAGAAAGAATATTTTCTCAAGGTTTAGGGTACCATGGGCAATCATTAGTGATGGAGGATCCCACTTTTGCAATAGGCAAATGGATGCGCTGTTGAGTAAGTATGGAGTGACACATAGGGTTGCAACACCTTACCATCCACAAACGAGCGGGCAAGTAGAACTTTCTAACAGAGAACTTAAGGGGATTCTAGAAAAGATAGTTAATGCATCTAGGAAGGTTGGTCAAGGAAACTGGATGATACATTATAGGCCTATCGAACTGCCTTTAAGACTCTGATTGGTATGTCTCCATTCAGGATGGTCTATGGGAAAGCATGTCTCTTACCGGTTGAACTCGAGCATAAAGCGTACTGGGCAGTCAAGCAGCTAAACATGGACTTGAAAGCTGCTGGAGAAGAAAGGATGCTGACTTTGAACGAACTCGATGAGTTTTGTCTTGAAGCATATGAAAATGCCCGGATTTATAAGGAGAAGACAACAAGGTGGCATGACAAGCATATCCGGAAGAAGGATTTTGAAGTAGGACAGAAGGTGTTGTTGTTCAATTCTAGACTTAGGCTTTTTCCTAGAAAACTTAAGTCTAGATGGTTCGGACCATTCACACTGACAAGAATTCACCCATATCGAGAGGTGGAAGTGTCACATGAAGAAAAGGGCACCTTTACGGTAAATAGACAGAGATTGAAGCCCTACATAGATGGGATGCTGAGTTGCAAATCAATCCCAATCCGGTTTGACATTCCGACGTGAAAGACATAAGAGAGTCGAGCTATTGACTATAAACAAGCGCTTCTTGGGAGGCAACCCAAGTGTTTTTAATTATTTGCTTTTCATTTTGGTTGTTTGAATTCATGATGAATTTGTTTGAATTTTAATCGGTATGTTTTTGGGTGTTTCAGGTGAAATTTTCAGCGAAGGAAATGACACAAAATGCTTCAGACTTCACTGGGGCGAAGATGTATTCCTCGCCGTGGCGAAGCACTTTATAGAAAAAATTGTTTTTGAAAGTCCCAGACTTCGCCGGGGCGAAGATGTATTCTTAGCTGCAGCGAAGCAACCTGGGAAACATGTCAGCTCTTGAAAGTTTTCGCCCTGGCGAAGAAATTGTCTTTGCTGCGGCGAATAAGGTGGGACTAAATTTGACTAAGGCATTTCGCCCCAGCGAAGATTGTTCTTCGCCGGGGCGAAGTAAGCTGAATAAAAAACGTGTAGCCTCTGTAAGTTTTCACCGCGGTGAAACCTGGGTTTCTTTTTTTAAGGGTTCTTGAAAGATGAACTTTGCCGTGGCAAAACTTGTTCTTCGCCACGGCGATGGTGGTTTTCTATAAATACCCACTTTTCTTTTTCATTCTTTACGCGACTCTTCATATCCACTTGAGAGAAAAATTTTCAAACTTCAATCCTTTGCCTTCCCAGTGTTTACCCAACCAAATTTCTTGCTCCTAAACACCAAAACAACTCATTTCAACAACAATTTTCGCAAAAATTTCACGAAAATTTTTGGATCAAGAATTTGGGGTTTTTCAATCTGGGTTATTTCTGGCTGAATTGGTGGCAAATAATCCTTCATATTGGTAAGTTCTCAAGTACCCAAAGCTTTTTATCGTACAATTTCAAGTTTTAAATTGTAGATCTGAAAAAATTGGTTGTGGTTGAGTTATGGAATTTGGGTGATTGTGAGTTTTGATTTTGTTGAGGAAGGATTGTTTGGATGTTGTGTGACTTGGAGGAGTGTGGGTCTTGAGTTTTGAATTGTTTAGGTTGAATTTAAAAAAAATTTAGTTTGGGGGTTGAAGTGCGAATTTTTGGAAGTTTTATCAATTGTTGCAGGATTGAATTGGTTTGTGTAAGACCCTTAGGCTTGAATTTTTAGGGTACATTTTTGAAGTTGAACTATAATTTTAGAGAAAATGCCAGTCAAAGCCAAGCATCAATACAAGGGCAAGGGAAAAGGAAAGAAAGTGATGACTGCTTCTTGAGTAAGGAGGCCCAGCAAAGATATGAAGGGGCTATCAAAAGAAAGGATAAGGGTTTTGTCCCAGAGCGCAGGTTGACTGCGAGTCAGGCCTTAGAATGGAGTCGAGGGAGAAGTGGGAAGTGTTTTTGAGTGCTCCTACATAGCCGGCTGTAGAGCCACTTGTGAGGGAGTTTTATGCTAAACTCCCGGATTGTGATGAGGGTATGGCATTTGTGAGAGGGGTTGATATGCCGTTTTCAGAAAAAGGTGTTCAATGAGTTCTATAAACTGCCTAGGATTTTTCAGGATGATTACGCGAGTTTTAAGAGGTCAAGTTATGACGATAATATCATTCTTCCGGTCATTGCAAAACCGGGTGCAACTTGGGCAGTGTCAAAGAAACAAAAGAAAACCCTCAAGGGAACAGATTTAACACCGATGGCTCGACTGTGGCAGTATTTTGTTAGTGCGAAGATGATGCCGAAAACGCACTATAGCACAGTAACTAAAGAGAAGGTAGTATTGCTTTACTCCATTGCCGTAGGAAATACTATTGATGTGGGAGATATTGTCTGGAACAACATTAAGCATGCTTCCAAACCAGGGCGAACAAGTTACGCTTTTTTGCATCTCATTACAGCTTTGTGCATTCAAGCTGGAGCCAAGGTTAATGATGATGAGCAACGTATTCATGCTGCCCCAGTCCTAGATTTAGATTTTTATCAAAAGCATGTTGATCGTCCAGCAACTGAGCAACCAAGAGCGAGGACAAAACGGTAGAGAACCACACAAGGCCCTGCCACATCCTCCAGCTCCACAGCTACATAGAAAGAGATGATGCAGCAGATGATGGGCATGATGAAACGTTTGACAAAACAACAGGATTGGTTGGCTGAACAGAACTGGATGATGTATGATATGCAGAAGAGCAGTTTCGGCAAGCTCAATGTTGACACTTTGGAATTCCAATGGGCTGATTGGGACTCAGATGAGTGGATGGGGTCCAAGGAAGAAGAGGAAGATAAGGAAGATGAGGGAGGAGAAGAATGAGCACCGTAGCACCTGTTTTTGTTTTTCTTTATTTTATTTTGTTTTAGTTGAATTGGTTTTTCATTTGAAACATTAAATTCAGTTGATATTTTTGGTTTTAGATTGTGTAGTTGTTTTAGTTATTTTCTTTTAATTTGTAGTTGTTGCAAGGACGAGATTAGGTTGTAATATTTTCAAGTTAGTTTGTGAATTTTTGCTAACACAAGGGACACCACAGTTTCAATTGTTTTGACAGATTCTGGGTGATGAAAAGTCTGAGACCGGGTGTGCATTGTGGAGCGACACTTCATGGATTAACCAGGGAGCTTTCTCGTGCCTTTGTTATTTTTGATTTTCTATTCTTGATTTATGCGTAATGGAACATTGGGGACGATGTCATATTTAGTTTGGGGGTAGGAAATAGAAATAAAGCCTAGTTTAAGGGTATACCAGCTGGAAACCAGAACCCGCCTTAAAAACTACCTAGTAGCACTTGGCAACCTTTGGTATAACAATGCCACATACACCTTAAACGAAAAAAAGAAAAAAGAAAACCTTTAGTTATTTTTCTTTAGTTTTATTGTTTTTGCTGATGATGAATTGTATAAATCAATGATGAGAATAGGGTTGTTGCAATTTTATTGTTGAGAAATGTTAAGCATTGCTTCAAGTTTATGTTATTGACTTGTTTTTTATTGAGGTTTGTTGAGTGGTTCAGCCTCAATTTTCATTTATTTCGGCATGCTTAGATTCATTTTATGTGATTAGGTGAAGTTTGATAATGTTGGTGGACTTTAGAACCTAGTAGAGAAGTGCCTGAGGCGAAATTCTAGGATTAGACATGGTTGAGGAAATGATTTAGGCATTCTTTTTTAACGTTTGAGCCTTTCTAGCCGACCCATGAATGAAATTGTCCCTAGTCACCCATTTGAGCCGTATGAATTTTATTGCTTTAATTTTCTTGGAAAACAACAAAATTGTCCAATCCTTATACCCTAAACACTTTATCATACCCTTAGGAGAATTCGGTCCTAATGCAAACACAAGGAATAGAAAGAGTTGTACGAATAAGCCAAAAGAATAGTTTGGGGGTTTGGAGAAGAGAAATAAAAACAAAAGAGGTAGTTCACCTCAATTCAATTGAATTGTTTTAATTTCATAAAAATAAAAAATAAAATAAAAAACACGATTTTGCCTAGTTTAAGGGTATACCGGCTGGAAACCAAAACCCGCCTTAAAAACTGCCTAGCAGTACTTGGCAACCTCTGGTATAACAACGCCACGTACACCTTAAACGCATTTCCCCCGTCGCATGGTATCCGAAATAAGAAAGATACACGTTGAGGGATGTGAATTAGTGGACATTTTGATTGGTGGTTGAGAAGAAGTGGAGTTGATTTGATGTTAGTTTTTGCATTAGGAAAACTGAGTTTTCTTACTTTGTTATTCCTATCCTTTTTCTTGGAACCCATTACCCGAGCCTAACGTTACAAGCTTTTAAAGACCTTTTGATTCTTATCTTTGTGTAGTCCTCATTAGTGGAGAGTAGTTCGATATTTAGGCTTATGGAGTCTGCCACTAGTTGATAAACTTTACATTTTTGCATAAAATAATCCAGGAAGTTGGAATGTGGATTGAAGTGGAGATCACCTACTCGGTGGACCGATTGAGGAAGACAGTCGATATAGCCTATAACTTCTTGGCTTGTTGAACATTTTTTGATAATAATTTTTCAACAACTTCTGAGACTTGTGTAATTTCTAGGCAATTTGTATGTTGAGTTTGTGTCTTGCTGGTTTTTGTTCATTTTTCATTTTTCAGTTTTGTTGTGTGTTTGGTGTTTTTGTTCGTTGTTTGTTGTTTTTGTTTCCGTTAGTTTTGTACCTTATACTCGGGGACAATCATATCTTTAGTTTGGGGCTATTTGATAATTCGCGGATTATACCATTTTTATTAGACTTTTTAGTCGGATTTCAAGTACTTTCTAGTTCATTTTTTACCTGAATTGTTGCCTAATTCTTTACATTTCATGTATTCGGTTAAAATGGACATTTTGAGCAAATAAGGAAAAAATTGGAAATTCTGGACTCAGAAGTAAGCGGATCTCAGAAGTTGGGAGAGTTCTGAAGTTGAATAAAGCACTATGAAGCTTGTTTACAAGGGAGAGCACCGAAGATCGAAGAATCAAGCAAAGATACAAGCAAAGGGGCAATTCTGTAATTTCAGAATTTTTCAAGAAGCTTCGCCGCGGCGAAGATTTGTTCTTCGCCGCTGCGAAATGCGCTAGTCACGAATCATATCTGCTTTTTTCTTCGCCGTAGCGACAACTGAAATTTCCAGTTTTGTAAAACGCACAGCTTTACTTTTGCGGATTTTTCTTAGGAATTTGGGCGAGGTATAAAAGAAACACTTAGCCTTTTTGCAAAGGGTTGTTTAGAAAGTAGGGTTAGCAGCTTTTACATTTTCTTAGTTTCATTTTGAGCAGTTTTGGAGATTGAACAAGGGTGAAGATTTGATTTTGAACCAGGAGATTCGTCATTTGGGGATATTTCTTATCTTTTCTTTTATTTTCATTATGTTAAACTTCAGTATTTTCATTTATTTCATTTGTGTTGTTGATTTAGCCATGAACTAACCCATTTTGGGCTAGGGTTTTGATTGTAGTTCGGATTTTTAATGGGTTAAGTTATTGATTATTTTCTTTTCATATGATTTTGCTTTGATTGTGTGTTTATTCTGCATTTACTGGTTTTATGTGATGAACATGATGAGATTGAGAAATAAATCATGTTAGGCTTCTTGGGTAATCACCATTTTAGTATTGGATGCTAGAGATAGATTCAACAACCAATGAAATCATTTTAGGACTCTTGTGCTTAATGAGCTTAGAATTATGAACTTTCAATTTGTTGGGTGCGGAAGGTTAATAGGAAAGAGTAGGAAAACATAACCTGAGAAGGTATGTTTGACACTTTAGAGAGTTTGATTTACAATCAATGCATGTGAATATGAATTTAGCTTAATTCTTTAGGTTTAACCTATAAAGTCCGAATGAAGTCAAAACCCTACCCGTTTTAATTGAATTGAATTTATCCGTGTTCTTCATCTAGCGTTCGTAGTTAAATTTTTAAGTTAGTAAATTTCAGCTTTAGTTTTTATTTTTAATTTGCTCCCATTAATCCAAAAGAAGTCGATTGCTCAAACTTGAGAACAGTAGGAAACTTAGTGCTTAGCTAGCAATCCTCGTGGGAACGATACTCACTCATCACTCTATTACTTGAGTGATTAGTATACTTGCTATATATTGCATGTTGTAGGAAACAGGCATCAACGTTTCGGCCTGAAACATAAAATATATAGAATTAAGTAGCAATTTAGGCATAAACAAACTAAGAAGTATCTAAAATCTGACCAAAAAGCCTAAATAAAATAGTATAATCCTCGGATTATCAAACATCCATTTTCCAAATCTCAAAGTCGTGATATACAACAATCGCGAGCATAATCTGGATGGATTTAATCATGGCAATCGGCGAAAAGGTTTCTTCATAGTCAATACCATGAATTTGTTTGAAACCTTTGGCAACCAATCGTGATTTATAAGTATGCACCTTGCCATCCATGTTAGTCTTCTTCTTGAAAACCTATTTACACCCTATGGGTTTTGCCCCTTTAGGTGGTTCCACCAGAGACCACACTTGATTCTGGTACATGGAGTCCATCTCAGATTTTATGCCTTGTAACGCCCCACTTGAGGTACGTTGTTATTGTTTCCTCTTTCGCCCTTAATCGAGTTGGTTTTTGTTGTTATTGTTTGTTTGAGTGTTATTTTGAATGTTGCCCTGAAATTGGTTGAAGATAGAAGAATCTTAGTGAACCAAGCTTCGCCGGGGCGAAGAAGAATCTTCGCCGCGGCGAAGATGTGTTGAAACCAAGGGTGAAACTCTCTGGACAGTTTCGCCGCGGCGACAGAGGTTTCTTCGCCGCGGCGACAGGCCGAATAAAATGTTGATTGAGTATTTTAGATATTTACTTCCCTAAGGGTATTTTGACCTTTCTCCTGCCCCAATTAGCAGGAAAAGTGGGGAGTTAATTGTAAGATTTTTCATGGAGATATGTTGATATAGGGGTGAGTTGTAAAGATCAAAGATATGGATAGAATTCCCAAAGAAGAATAAGGGCAAAATGGGAATGAGTGTGCTTTATTTCATTAAAGGAATTAAGAGTTAGCAAACCCTCATTTTCTTCTTCTCAAACGCAACTTCCCATCTCCACTCCTCTCAACTTTTTTTCTCTTTTGATCAAGGAATCCAAGGGGTTTTTGAAGTGATTTGAGGTGGAATGCAACCTAACTTCCTAAGGTAGAATCTCTACTTAAGTTGTGTGATTTGGGAGTTTTAACCCTATTGAAGTTTGAGGGTTTTCATTCTTTTGTTTAGATTAGAGGGAAAGTCAAGCTTAACAAGTGAAAGGAAGAATTTGTGATCTCTCCATAACAAGGTAAGTAAAACCCAACCCAAGTTGAATTCATGAAAATTCTTGATTAGGGTTTTGATGAAATGATGTATGTATGTGATGTGCATGTAATATGCCATGTATGGAGTATTAAATGGAGATTTCTATGCTTTGTAATGTTAATACCTTGCAAATTCAGACATGGGTTGTTGGGTTGACAAGGTAGTTGAGATGGATTTGAAGGGGTGTTATGAACCCCTTTTGGAAGTGTCTTGTTTGAGGTTTTCATGGCTTTGTGAGGGGTTTTTCCCCATTTTGGATGGTTAAGAAAAGTTTTAGAATCATGGCTATATAGAGTTTTATAGTGCACATGAGTTGTTTGATGAAATGCCTTAGAGGTTTGAGTGTGAGTAATGAACCTTAATTCTGCAACATTGCATGTTGGCATCTCAT